TCACGAAGAAAACACAACAAGGAAGTCCAATCTACAAAGTCTCGAAAAATGATTACGTGTCATATCGGACGTATGTGCTTCTTTGATATGTTAGATCACAGGAAAATTCTGTAATTGCATAAAAGCGGCTATTATAAATTACAAGTTCTGGAATGAGGATTGTTGGATTGTATGCCATGTAAAGTGAAAAGCTAAAGTAATTTAGTTTAAATATATCATTTGTGAGGAAATTACCACTGTTCGTTTGGTTGTGCCGTATTATTTATCAATATGGAGATTTCTGTTTTATGGATATTGCTATTGAAGGTAAGATGTACAATTTATGCAACGTGGCACGTTTTTATAAATTTAATAAATGTCAAACGGTGAGTGCGTGTCTATTTAGTAATAAAACAGAAATATATTTCTGTTGTTTTTGCTGGATTTACTCTCTATATTCTCGTTTATATTCAAATCGGGTGCTGACTGCTGGGTATTTATAAATGACGACATTACATTCGCCTTTCCGTATACGATAGATTAAGGTCCGTATTTTTATTTCATTAAATTCAACTTTATATATATGGTACGCAATACAAAAGACACGTAAGAGAAACGTAGATCATAGCAAGCAAACACGCCTGTCTAAAGACCTGTCTTTAATTATACATAGACCTGAGTAAAATACACGGTCGAATGATAAATCGCACGGTAAAACAGTTTTACTTGCCAAATTTTGATTTAACACGTTGGTCCTTGATTATACTCCTTTTGATGCAGTTAACACACCTCTACTGAAAACGCACTGTCGCACAGTTTTTCACCCCTAGCGTTAATTATCTTACCTCCCAGACAGTTTTTCACCCTTGTTAATTAACACACCTTATTTACAGTTTTAACGCGGTAATACCGAGTAATAGTCGGAAAATTAATTTTCTTTCAATACACGTACAAATAACAACTATGACTGAGATTTCTATGGTGGCTGTGCAAAGATTCCCCCTTTAGCAGTTCTCAGTGTTAGTGTCTTATTATTCCAGTCTAAATAGTCAACAAACAAAATGGCGTCAAAATTGGATAAACTTTTCTCTCGGCAGAAGCTAAACTATGGTAAAATAAAATGTTATTGACAGATTCGGCCGAAATTTGGTGTGAGGTCCTGGCTAGTCCCCCTACGATCAAGGGAACTGGTAGAGGTACGTTACTGAAATAGTACCACCATATCTTTATAAGGTGATACTTCGGAAGGAAAAACTAAGTCAAAAATAAGAACAATTACTAATTTATTTGGCTAAGAGTATTCTCTCAACATAACTCCTTTAAAACTCCACCTTATCTTTGTCAGGAGATAATTCAGAAGGAGAAAGTAAGTCAAAGGTGAAAACCACAAAAGTTCCAAAAATCGGATTAGGAAATATATTTCAAGCTGGACCTATAACCCTGAGACCTGTAGGTAGTAAAAGAGCTGTTCCATTACCTCCTGATAAACCTCCGGACGTAAAGGTAAGCAGTTACAAACATGATGTTTTTTTACACCCACATTTTCATGTTAAGGAATTATGCTGTTGCCCATGTCTGTCGGACGTCAGTTCACATTTGCTTGTGCACACTCGACATGTCGCAATTTGTATATGCCCACATTTTCATGTGGATGTATATTGTCGTCGTATATTGTTGTGGACAATCTACAGGTTACAATTTTTATCCGATTTAGATAAAACTTGAAATAGGTTTATCTCACAAAGATCTTAGTTCCTTTCATTATTCACGCACATCAGACTGTAACTTCCTGGATTATGGCCCCTGATTTTTAGCTTGTGGACCACCTAGAGGTCACAATTCCTATCGGTTCTTGCATAAGATTTACTGTTTAGCGTATCTTTGCTTTAGTGTGTTACATTTAATTTGATCGGGAGACGTGTTCGTTGACATCAACGTCAACCGACAACACTGCAAGAATTGGGCGGACGGACAGGGGTGACAACAATATACGTCAACATGAAAATGTAGGCATATAAAAACATGATTTTTTGTACAATCAGGGGCCATAATCCATGAAGTTCTGGTCCGATATATGCCAATATCGAAAGGAACCGGTATCTTCGGGAGAGACCAATATTTCAAGTTTTGTCAAAATCGGATAAAAATTGTGACCTGTAGAGTGTCCACAAACAAATTGTGGACGGATATATACGGACGGACGGACAGGGGCGACGACAATATACATCCACATGAAAATGTGAGCGTATAACAGGGCTGGCCACGAATAAATTGATGGCGAGCAGATGACTGCACACGCAAATTTAGGTTTGGGCGAGCAATAAAAATTGCTCACGCAAAATGTTGTTTGCGTGAGCACACATTTTGTAACATTGTTTCAATTTAAAATCATAAGAAAATTGCTATTCCTGGCACAAAGTTTGCAGTAAACATGTGTGACCATCGCTTTCTGTTTTTGACAGTCATACGTACTCTTCTTTATTAAAACCAATTTCCGTATGGATTTCTTCACCCCACGAAATAAATGTGGATAGGGCAATCAGGTTGCCTTTGGCCATTATTACGCTTAGATTGAAAATTATACGACTGCACAATGGAATAAAAACCGAAGTTCTGATAAAATAGGAAATACCGATAAATATTAGTTTGAAACGTGTTCATTTAGCGTGAATGCCAAATGCCGGATGTAAACATTCTTTACTTTAGACTCGATTATCACGTGTTTGTTACTGGTGTTCGTAGGAAAACCAGTCATGACGTTCAGGTCTAAAGTGTATTTTTAGTAACACAAGTTGCGAGTAACTTTATTAGCCAATCAAATTTCAGGAGGAAATGCCGCGTGCAGCTGGGTGAATCTCAGTTTGACAGACGAATTTATGACGTTATTGACATTGTTGGGTTAGTTTCGGCAATAAACTTGTCAATATTTTGATTATTTTTACAGGGTTTTCTTAAATGTAGATTTACACGAGCGCGAGCAGTTGCTCGCGTCTCGTGGCAAGCCCTGGTATAAAAATGGTAGTCTTCGATTCTCAAAAGATAGGTTGCTAGGCAACGAAACATATGCCCACAGCAGCTTAATCGTCCAGGCAGTCAACAAGAGTTGTTGCATATTTTTACTTTTGTTGGTAATGAGACATTTATATATATATAATACACTAAAATCTAATTATCAGAAAATCATTGGAATTTGTTTGGCCCATGCTAACGTTTAGTATACAAAACATTTAATATCATGGATTTAGCTGCTGAAGTTATCAAAATTCATTGAAAATCAATACACATGTACTTGTTCATCTCAAGACCTTAAACTCTGGGTATTAACCTAAAGTCATTTGAAACGATTATATACTCTTCAAATAAAGTAGGGATATTGAAATGCAAATACATATGCAGGTTGTGATATGATAAATAGTCATGGACACTTGACATGCTTTGAGAATATGTTCACAGATGAAGAACTTATTGCCCCAACAGAACCACTGAGCTGCACATGTGACATGCAATAGCGCCATCCACGTGGGAGGGGTTCATTGTCAAATTTGACACTACAAGGAAGGGTTGATGCAAACTGCCGCGTGCTGGTTTATCCTATCCATGTTTTCTTTCCTATCGGTTCTTGCATAAGACTTACTGTTTAGCGTGTCTTTGCTTAAGTGTGTTAAGTTTAATTTGCAATGAGATGTCTTCAACAGGATGAACGTCTACGTGCTATTGGCATGCTTTAAATGGGTTCTACACAGCGAGCAGTAGCCAACCTGCTTAATGTGTCACAGTCTGTGATCAGCAGGCTGTGGAACCGGTACAAACAAACAAACAATGTTGATGATAGACCTTGTTCAGGTCGTCCTAGAGCCTCTACACAAGCCAAGGATTGATACATTCGTACACAGATCCTGGGAAATCGAGGACAAACGGCCAATCAGCTTTCTGTAAACTTGTACCAAGTCACAGGAATTCGAGTTACACCCCAAACGATTAGAAATCGGCTACATGCAGCCCATTTGCATGTGCGACGACCGCGTGTTGTGCCTCCATTAACTCACCAGCACATGGCAAACAAGCATCAATGGTGTGGGCAGTGTAGAAATTGGATTTCACCAATAGGCGTGCTCGCGTTTGGAGGCATGTAAATAAGCGTGGGTCTGTTATGGTGTGGGGAGGAATCACCATGACTGGCAGAATGGACTTGTATATTGTTCAAGGAAGGGAGACGTGTTCATTGATGTCAACATCAACACTGCAAGAATTGGCCATGGCACTGCAAGAGGAGTGGGTCAGATTGCCCCAAATCGTGATTGGACGGTTGATTAGGAGCATGCCACGACGAATTACTGAATGTCTTAGGATTAGTGGAGCAATTACTTTTGACAGTGTATCTCTTTGCGAGTGAAATGGGTCTGTCAGATAAGCCACCCATATGAACTGTTTATGTTCATGCATGGGCAATTGGCCTGTTATTGTTATTAACATACACTGATTACCTCTAATAAAAACAGCAGTGCATTTAAACAGTTTTGTATTGTTTCTGAATATCCCCTACTTTTTTTGAAGAGTATATGTAATACACAGATTGTGGATCCACTAGAGGTCACAATTTTGATCTGATTTTGATGAAGCTTAAAAAAATGTATGTTTGTATGCTTAAGATCTTGGTTCCATTCCATATTCGCGCATATCGGACTGTAATTTCCTGGATTACGGACGATCATTGTAGAAAAAATTGTGTTTTTTTGGCTTGTGGATCCTCTAGATGTCCAATTATTATCTACTTTTAAGAACCATCACCCCTGTCTGTGTGTATGTTTGTGTTTGTGTGCGTTTGTAATGTTTTGAACTAAATCCAGGACTGTAACGATGTTCAGAAGCTTGGATTTAATATCCCATTTGATTTTAAGTTTGATCTGAGGTGTTCTACAGTTAGGGTGTATCTTTCGTGTGTGTGATCTGAAAAAGGAAAAATATACTCTTCAAAACAAGAAACGCACAGCCCATTTTTCATCATTTTTTATTTGAACGGGATCGTTGTTTCCATAAATCTTACTTGTTTTGAATATCACTATGTAAGGATAAAAGAAATTCATGATTGGTTTTAAATGTAGGGTCATTAATTGTGACTGGTCATACTTTTTGCCGAAGTTTGTTTTCGCTTGACAATGTGTCCTTGGATACCGGTTTGAAAGGTTTATTCAGACTCAGAAATAAACTTGTATAATCTCCACGATAAGTCTCGGTTCTCAGAATATATTCCTTGTATATCGTTACAACACATAACCTCCTATCTGGAGGGTAGCACTTAAGCACAATTTCACTCTGTTGATAACCGCGGCGAGTCTGTTTTAGAAAATCACCAATTCTAATTCTAATAGCTCCTTTAGTAATTGAAATATTCCTGATATCCAATAACTGAAAGGTCTGGATCCTTTGGCCAGATAATAACGCCATTAAACAAAGTAACTTAAACGTTAACATTTTTAAAGAAAGTTTCCTCACTGGGGATAAAGTTATTAAATGTTTCAAAACAACATCGACATCCCAAGTAACACCTGTTCTTGGCAAAGAAGGTCGAAGATTATACACTCCTTTAAGAAACCTGATAATCACCGGAAGAGTTCCAACCGGTTTACGGTCAATAAAAACAAAAGCTGACAGGTCACTCCTGGCCGTATTAATTGCACTATACTTCAATCCTTTGTTGTATAGAGATGTTAGAAATTCAATCACATTTACTGTATCCGTTGAAAAGGGATCAATTTTCCTTTTAGTACAGAAACAAAACCACTGTTTTGCGTAAACACTGTACTGTTGCTTGGTAGATTGTCTCCAAGAGGAAGATAAGATTTCTCTAGCTTGCTTAGAAAGAGTTCTGTCTTCATGTGCTCTCCCGACACCAAAACAGCCAAAAACTTCATCTTTGGTAGGTGAACCATTGGATCCTTCAATGGATGTGTTAACAAGACTTCTGATCTAGGCAAAATAAAAGGAAAATCTATTAACATTCTAGTCAATTTGGTAAACCAATACTGAGTGATCCACCAAGGAACAATAAGTATGCCAGTAGCTTTATCCTGTTCAATCTTAGTTAACACTCGACCCATGAGACAGAAAGGTGGAAAAGCATAAAAGAAAGAATTCTTCCATGATACAGAGAATGCATCTATTGCACTAGCAAATGGGTCAGGTTTATAGGCATAATAATTTAGAACTTTAAAATTCAACCGAGATGCAAACAGATCCACTGTAGGCAAGCCCCAATGATTACAAATCTTTAGGAAAACATTAGAATTCAGTTCCCATTCTGAATAATCATGTTTTAGTCTCGACTGTTCATCTGCCTCTACATTTAACACGCCTGCAATGTGGGTAGCGGACAAAGTAATGTTTCTAGACATGACCCATTCATACATTTCTCTAGAAATCTCATGGTATACAGAAACTTTTCCACCTTGAGAATTAACATAGGAGACTGCAGTAGTATTATCAATTTGCATCTGCACATGAACATGTTTTAGTTCTTTGCATAATGTCATCAAAGTGTACTTTGCTGCTAACAATTCTAAATGATTAATATGTTTGGTCTTCTCATCTATAGACCAATGACCACCAGTGACCTGATTATCAAATATTCCACCCCACCCTAATCTTGAGGCGTCTGATCTTAAAATAAAATCGGGGTTAGAATTTTTCATCATTTTAAATTCAATAAGGCCGTGTTGAATTGATTCCTTGTTTCTCCTCGCCCGCGCGCTTAGGTCGAGGACCCCGAAAATCGTGCGCTTACGTTTTTAACACAAAAAAAAATATTCAAAAAATTACGTTAATAACATCTAAATAAAATTCTACCAAACATCAGAAGTCAATTCTCGTTGTTTATTCCTCGTTACGAACTAAATAAGTAAGTGCAGGGGGCCGCACTACATGCAAAACAAAAATCTACAAGATAAACCTGCGGACAAGACAGAAAATAGGCATTGCACCGAATAAACAAATATCAAATCAAGTGAATGGATCCGGTTGATAATACACATGTAGGGGCCCGCATACTATGGAATAAGTTACACTGTATATGATTGGATGAATTCCGCAAAATGGCGCGTGTAGCAGTCATTTCGGCTAATGAGAAAGCATATTATAAACTGTAAGACAATCGCTAATTTTCAACCGCGAACCTGAATAATCAATTTTTTCATTGGCTAAAATTATAACTCATGTCATTATTATTCAAGTATTACCCAATCATTTCTTGTGTAATAAATAACGCACACCTTACAAAATGGTGAGCTATGCCGGGACATAGGTAAATTCGCGTACCGGTCGGCCTAATTTATTGATGTTCAAGGAAATAATAGTGGCCCCGTTCGCTCGTTTCTGGAGTTTAACAAACGAACAAACAAACGGGACCACTATTATTTCCTTGAACATCAATAAATAAATTAGGCCGACCGGTACGCGAATTTACTTATCTCGACTCGACTTTGGTGGTTATTCCCAGCACTTTCACGTTCGATGATATTATCGAAACCATCTACAACTCAACAAGCGAATCAAATTATAACTGGAATGTTTCCATTGTATTTTAACACAAGAATACGGAAAATTTATATCAAAATATGGTTATTTAATTTTTTATAAAGTTAAACAAAGAAGCCACTTGTTACCAAATTTTAGTTTGTTATTAAATTTATTTAATTAAATATTATCTGTGTTTTTATTCTAACCAATAATATAACTAGATTATTTATAATATTATTAAAAATGGTACACAACCCTCAGACTATATAGGTATTATGCCAGACCACTTTGTGTTTTGAAACCCACTTTGTGTTGTGTTTACCGCACTACCGCACATGATTGCCAGAGTGGTGGCAGGAGAAACAAGTAATCAATTCAACACGGCCTAAGTATATTCTTAACCCACCAATTCAAATCGGTTTTACAGTCATATGGCAATTCAATTTTTGCATCAAAATTGCCCTTGTTATGTTTTAATGCCTCAGTTTTATAATTATCACATCTGCAATAAATAATGGTGCATATTGAAAACCCGGAAACGAGGCTACCATCAGACCAACAACTTCTGCTAACTGTCTAATGGTGATAATTTTAGAAACAAGCAACTGCTGACAAGAATTTCTTAATTTAAGAGCTTTTTCAGTTGTCAATTTTATGGTCATATCTACAGAATTTAGTATAAAGCCTAAATAAATAATTACTTGTGTTGGCTCAAATACTGATTTTCCAGAATGTACAGTAAATCCAGCTTGTATTGAACTATTGACTGTGTCTATTACATTTAATTTACACTCTTCTAATGTGTCACCCACAAGCAAACAGTCATCTATAAAAGATGTGTTCATGTGACCCATCTTTCTTAGATGAGAAAACAAAACTTTTGTTATTTTCGTAAATAAACGAGGTGCCGAGCCCAAGCCATTGGGGAGGCATGTAAATTGATACAAAATATTATTAAAATAAAACTTAAGATATTTTCTATGTGACTGAGCAATATTTACAGAAAAATATGCATCCGTCCAATCAATTGATGCCATAAAGCAATTTGGCTTAATTGTCCCCCGCCTTTCGAAGAAAGCAGGGGACTATTAAAATGGGTTCGTCCGTCTGTCTGTCCGTCTGTCTGTCTGTCCGTCTGTCCGTCACACTTTTTGGGACACAATAACTCTCTTCCTAATTGAGCTAGAATGTTCAAACTTGGTGTATGTGTTTATTAGGTCAATGCCTTGATGGAGTTCGAAGATGAGCATTTTCCGCTTAGGGTAAGCAGAGATAAGCAATTTGATTGGTTGATACTTTGGGACACGATAACTCTCTTCCTAATTGGGCTAGAATGTTCAAACTTGGTGTATGTGTTGATTAGGTCAATGCCTTGATGGAGTTCGAAGATGAGCATTTTCCGCTTAGGGTAAGCAGAGATAAGCAATTTGATTGGTTGATGCTTTGGGACACGATAACTTTAGTTCTAATTAAGTGAGATTGATGAAACTTGGTGTATAGTTTCATTACAGTAATACCTTGACTAAGTTTGATAATGAGCATTTTCTGCTCAGGGTAAGCAGAGCGATACGCAATTTGATTGGTCGAGACTTTGGAAAACAATAACTCTCCTACTTTGATTGTTAGACTATAAGTAAAGATATACTGTTTGATTGTTCAATACTTTGTAAAAGATAATTTGTGATAAATTTATATGTGTCCTCTAATTATTTTCCTATTTCGGCGGGGGACATCAGCCTCACTGTTGGCTTGTTAGATCAACAGCATGTTGTAAAGTTTCCATCTTAAAATGTCTATAAATGACCTCATCATTCAATTCTTTCAAATCTAATATAATTCTTAATGACCCATCCTTGTCTCTTGTAAAAATATTAGATATATATTCACCGTTTTCATGCTTTGATACTTCAATAATGTTTTTGTTTATCATCTTAAATATTTGATCAGAAATTGCTATTTGTTTATCTTTTGCAAACTTATATGGATAACTGACAGTTACTTGATTTGGTTTATTTGCAAATTCAATTTCAGTACCACAAATGGCTTTTAAAATATTTCTGTCAGAGGTCATTGTTTTCCAAAACTCTAAATTATTTTTCAAATTGCCAGCCTTATAATTGAGTATTAAATTTGGCAAATAAAATTTTACACAACTTATAAATATTTCCCATGATCTATGAGTAAATTTCCAATCACTTACCTTCAAAAGTTTTGGATTTTTCTCAACAGAACGAATTACTTCTTCCTCTGTGGTGGAGCTCTCTTCCCCCTCTGTGGCCCTCTCTTGTAGCCCGACTCTAAAAAAGGCTTTGGTCCACTTTTATTGTAGCTGTTATTGTAGCCGAATCCAAGTGCCTGATCAGTATCTTTAAGATCTTTCAATTTTTTATTAAGATCTTCACCAAACAACAATTGTCCCGCTCCAACTTCCAAATTGTTTGAAAAATTGCAAATCGGTTTAGTTTTGGGCCTCAGATCTGGCTTAAATAAATCTCTACAACCTTGATTAAAATCTGTCAAAGCAGCACCCAGTATTGCCAACGAGTCCATAGCTGTTCGAATGGCCTCGGTTATTTGTAACTGAACAGTTTTGTTGCCCTCTGTCGCTTCATTCAAATCTTGTTTTGCCATTTTAGGCATTTGTTTCTTTAAAGTCAACAGTTGATCAGTTAGAGAAGTTACTGAATAGGAGATTTTGACAATCTTTTCCCCCAACTTTTGCAATTTAATGTCCTTTGACCGTGTAATGGGTTTAACATTTCCACAGCCCCATATTTCTTTATTTACTCTGGAAAAATACACTTCCAAATTAGCTGGTCTGGTTGCTTTTTCCTCTTATTCACTTGACCCTCCAAAGTATTATTGTTAAACAAATTATTAACTATTTTAGCTAAATTAGGATTAATGTCTCTCCCAACCTTATCTTGCACAATGTATTCACTTTCGAGACTCGCTACGAATTCACCATTATCTTCCACTTCACAATCGCCCACCGGCGGTTCATTGTCATCATTTTCCTCGAGCAATTCATTAATTTGCTCACCCACATCTTCTTGACGTTTGTCGGACAATTTTGGAATTTTATAGCGTCTCTGAGTCATATTTGACATATCCCCTGATTTACCGGAGTCTGTTTCATCTTCACTCTGAGAGATATCATGAATGTTTACATTATGACGTCGCTTCCTGTTTTTACTGTCCCGAGTTGAATTATTCTTCGATAATTGTTTGACGGAATTGACAAGTAAACCTTTTAATTCAGAGCGCATTCTATTCATCTCAGTCTTAAACAAATTCATTGAAACCGTATCTTCAGATTTGTTTTTGGGCCCTGTCGTATCACCGGTACTGTCTGTATCTCGATCATAATGGTCACTGCCACTGGCCATGTGTTCATTTCGTTGACCTACTTTTAGCGGAGTTTTCTCCAAGTCTATTAGTAGTAAGTCTTTTGG